AACAGCCACTTGTGAAGAATTTTGAGTAAAGAGCGGATCATTGAGTGCTGATCTCTAAATTACATATCTATCTATATATAACACAATTATACCTTCAGGACAAGATGCTCTATGTGAAGGTGTTTTTCCGTTTCTTCTGGAGTCAACGGTTTTTGACACTAGTTAACCAAAATTATATAAAAATAAGAATTGTGAGGCTTTGGATTCATGAGTTCCTTGTGAGGTGAGTACTGACTTTATTTTTTTGAATGAACTTGTTCTGGTTCTTGGAGATTATGGGCTGAGCTTTGGATGTTGGCATTTTGCTGAGAGGAGGGGAGGGAACTGGGCTTTGCAAGTTATGCCCCGAGGTGGGGTTGGCTAACAGTCAAGCAAAGGTTGGATGATGATAAATAACCATTGGGGACCTACTTCTTGGTTGACAATACCAGCTGCTTGGAGACAGGTAGAGGCTCTCTGGGGAACGGTGGAAGTATGATCATTGCGTTTTTGACCTTGTTGTTTGGGAGGGGGAGAAGATTGAGTTGAACCAATTTCTTCTTCTAGGTTTGGTACTTTCTTGTTATTGGCTTTAAGATTAGAGAGTGAAACCCAACCCTTTGGCAGTTGCTTTTTGCAAGCTTTGGTTAAGGGTGCTGTCTCACGAGATATAGTAGTGTTGGCTTTGCGTTTGGGTTTGACCTTTGAGACTTTGCCTTTGCGAGTTTTGGAGACACTTGTTTGGGCCGTTTTTGTGATCAGAGGACTGTAGATTTGGTTGGCTGATCAATGATCGACATTGTCAGCATTGAAGGGATGTTTGACATTAAAGAGTGACTTGTCATCTATGGATTTCACGGCATTGTTGACTACTTCCCGGGCCTCATCATCCATCAAGCTTGGGTCTTGAGCTTTTGACACATTCACTACTTCTTCTGTGGGTATGTTGAGGTTGCTGACACCAAACTTGGGTAAGAGTGAAAAACCTAGCAAGCAACAAATATCAGATTATTACTTAGTTTGAAACAAACGAATAATTATTCAAACACACATTGCTCAGATGTAATTCTTTTCACAATTGAAATGGGGTGGGATGCCAAATTGGATTGTGATGCTACATTATCTTTTGAGCCAAGGTCTTCTGGGTCTTCTTCAGAAATTGGATTGATTTCCACAAAAGCATCAATGATGGATTGATCATTCACTGCTTTGTCTTCTAGCTTTTGAAATGGGGTGGTAGTCTTCTTGGGTGAAGTAGTGAGACTAGGATCCAGTTGATTGATTTGAGTTGAACTAGGAGAAGATTGTATCAATATTGCAATGAATAATGTTGGTTTGACCTGAAGGACTCATTGGATTTGGAATGGGAGCAACCGATGAGACAGCTTGCGTTGAGTCAAATTGATGGGGACTTGAAGGATTGTTGTTCATCGGATTCTTGCCTTTGGAGTTTGAAACATGGTTGTGCTCGTCTGCCAAAGTAAGAGCTGCGTAGGTGGTGCTTTGTAGCTAATTAGGAGGAACTGTAGTTGAACTAGCAATGGCTTTTGCAAATTCCCAATCACATAGAAAGGAGTGGAGTAGGTATGCTTGGTTAGGTGTGGGAAGAGATTGCATCTCTTGTATGCATCTCTTGTAGTAACAGTTGGTATTGGTGGGTCAAGAGTCCTGCAGACAGGTTGGGATAGCCGATGGTAATGGGAGATGTTGAAGAGAGGGAGCAGGAAGCAAAGTCAAGGCAGGAAGTAAGGTTGAGGAAGTGAGGTTGAGGTGGTGGGTTGAGGTGACAGTATGATTGGATTTTCTTGGGTGGTCCTTCTTATGGGCCATGGTTATGACTACTATTTCGTTCATCTCAAAAGAAGATAAAAAAAGAGGTATGATCCTTTTTATTCTCACAACAGGTTATCTGAAAAGGACACGTCTTGAGGGGGTGAGCAGGTGATGTTGATTGAGTTTCTTGGGTTCCACTCTTTGCCTTTGTTTGATGTCTATGATTGCCTAGACTACACTTGTAGTAGATTGATGTGGGTAGTTGGGTGTTGAGAGTTCTGATTTTAAAGCCATGATTGGCAGCAAAATGGTGGAGATAGGTGGCTGCTGCAGCGTGACTGGGGAGGGTGAGGTTGACACAAGGAAGGGGTATATGATTGGGGTATGTGAGTTTGTTGTTGTTGGCTGAGCTGGTGGCTGTGGTCATTGTGACTAAGAGATCAATTGGAAGAGGTGGAGCTAAGGTGTGAAGGTTGCTGCAGGAGGTATTCAGGTGTGAAGATCAGTGGGAGTGAAGAGCGATCTTGTTTGGTTGGGGGTTTTGGGGTGATTAGGGTGTGTTATGTGTATGACAGCTGTGAAAGGTGGTGAGAAAGGTAAGTTTTTGGGAATATTGTGAGATTTGAAGCAGAGTTTTGTGAAGAGATGTGAAAATGGTGATCAAATGTCTAGATGGGTGAATAACTGTGAAGACTTTCTGGTTCAAAAGTCTGTGAATGTTTGGGGTGAGTGTGAAAACTTGTGAAAAAGGCTGTTCAGAGACATGTAAGGGGGTGTGAAAGGTGGTAAACCACCTTCTGTCTTTTGGGACTTGTTGGCTGGGTAGGTTACAAAAGATGCATCTGCCGGCTTTTTTTTGAATATGCTGCAAGGATACATGTAGTAGTATCCTCAGGTTGGGTCCAAGTTTCAAGTGCACAAGAGGTGAAGATATGAACCAACGACCCTCAAGCCAAGAACCATAGACTTGGGTCACTAGTGTCCTACCACTGATACTGTCTATTGGTTCCCAGAGACAATACACCTTGCCTTTGTCTTTGTTGGTATGTGGCTTGTTTCAAAAATTTCCTAGCGTGAAGGCTAGGTTTGTACCGAAGTCAAGAGGTCCAGAAGGTTTGAATTTAGAAGTCAAACAAAAGGAGGGGACTCTGAGGTTGTTGGATAACTTGAGGGAAGTAAAAAACCCTTCCTTACAAATGGTTTAGAGACGTAAACCAATCCTGGCACCAAAGGTGTGCAAATTTGTGAGAAAATGTTTGTATAGAAACCAAGAGGAGACTTTAATTGGCATGTTGCTCAAAAATCCAAGCATTTGGCCAAATGCATACATCCATGAATAAGAGCCCTGTTTGTTGTATTCCTAACTTTTGGTTTTGCAACTGCTTACTCTTCTTCCTCTTCAGTGTTGGAAGGCAAGAGCAATGTAGGGGGAAAGAAATCTCTTGATGATGGCAGGAGTGACACAAGCGGCAATGACTCTCTTGCTGGTGGTTCTGGCTGACAAAAGCCTCGAATATCCAAACACATTTTTGGGTACAATTTTTCACACAAGCTAGATATATTGGGTTGGCTTGGCAGCAGAGTGGTTGAATTTGGTGTTGGTAACCGGCTAAAAAGTCTGAATTACATCATTATTGTATCAACATACGCCTGATGATCTTGCCGTGCCTCCACATCCATAGCTTAGAGATCCATATTGTCACAAGTAAGTACTAGTCTCCCTGTATCTCTATTGACGAACTTTCCTTGGCCATGTATAACTACTTTGTAGCAATTGAATATAATTTTCATAGTGGGTTCCAGATCTTCAAATGGCAAGACGAGATCTTAAAGTCACCTCAGCTGGTGGTCCTGTGTGCTTAACATTTGATTATGACTGTCTGCCAATTAATTGGTTTCTGATGTCACTTTCAGTTCTGCATACTTGACAGGATGTTTGCTAACATAAGGCAACAATTGTCAGTATCATCACCGTAATGCATAGCTTATGCACCAACACCCACAGCTCTTTAGAATCTTTTGCATAGTTTTGGGCAATGCATGCAGAACCCCATCCAAACCCTTGGCACAGTAACGTTCTAGTGCCTGCTGCCTGAGATCAGTATTGGATTGGGAAAGCAACTCAGCTTTACACATACCAAACAGGATACTGTTCAGGAAGACGACTTACTTCAGAGTTCCTTTCCAAGTTTTAGTACCCACACCAGGCACAGCAAGTTTACACGCCAGATGGAGCTGACACTCCAATTGAGGGAAGCCATCCGGCCCAAGCTACTCATGTGGTACGTGTGCATAGGACTCTGGAACATTCAATTGCACAGGAAGCTGAAACCACATGTGATGAATATCTTAGATCTTGCGCGCCCCAATCAGCAGAGCAAATTCATCACTTTGAACTATGCACATGATCATCATCTGTATGCCCTTTTTGTCTTTGCATATCTATGGTCTGGAGTAGGTTGGAAAGGAGGGTCACCCCTGTCAATGGGGTACTCTAACTATGTTGTAGGTTAGCCCATCAGTTGCCGCACATTGGATTTCAAATTTACAAAACTCACCTAGACCTGGCCAGCGGTTCAACACTATGCTTCAACCTCTTAAAGTTCAACCAATCCGGGGTGGCAGTTGTCAAGATGATATTTTATTATGCTCTACATCAATTCTAATTTATGGGTAAGCTCAAGAGTTCAAGTCAGTCTTGCACTCACATTTTTCCACTCTCTGGCCTTGTGAATTCCACAATCAAAGCAACCTCAAGAGAGTAAATTGAATTTACAAGGAAGGGGATGGGGATGACATTTGGTGTGTGCAGTTCATATTATGTAGAGGTTATCTCTGTTCCCAGCTTATTGTCATTACTCATCCCCCCCGGGTATTCAAGGACCAACACTTGGTGTGTCAAAGCCCCTGCTGATTATGCTGAGAGACATTGGTGAGAGTTCCACGGCAGCTGTCAGAGTGATGAAATGTCTCAAATCAATCTTTGTGGAGGCAAATTGGGAAAGACAGTTTTGCAACTGGTTTGTGCCCCGCAGTCCCAGGAAGCGGCTTGAAATGTCTCAAATCGATCTTTGTAGAGGCAAATTGGGAAAGACAGTTTTGCAACTGGCTTGTGCCCCGCGGTCACAGGAAGCCGCTTCATATGTCCAAATCTGTTAAATTTTGTGATCAAGCAATGAAGCTTGGGCTTCACATGTCCAACACCGCTGAGCTTTGTGATCGAGCGCCAAAGCTTGGGCTTCAGATGTTCAAATCCGCTGAGCTTTGTGATCAAACGATGAACGGGATTTAGATGTCCATTTCCAACCGGTTTGTGCCCCACGGTCCCAGGAAGCTTGGGCTTCATATGTCCAAATCTGTCAAATTTTGTGGTCACGCAATGAAGCTTGAGCTTCACATGTCCGGATTCACTGAGCTTTGTGATCAATGGCCACGGCTCAACACACATTGGGATGCTTCATAATACCAATCACAGCACCTCCAAGTTGAAAAATCTACAACAAAATGAATTGTTAGTTGCATCCTTTCAGTGACGCTCAGGCAGCATGGAGCGAAAGGCAACAATGATTGATTGAATGTATGTTTTGGTCACATTTCACACACTGGTCAAGGCAAAAGTTGCCGCTGAGACACACTTGCTGTGCTTTAGTAGATGAAGCTTTGTACGCAATGATTTTGGACTTGTCATTATTTACTTCAAGGGCCCAACGCCCAACCACCAGCAAATTTGTTTGCGGGTTCTTGTGCGGTTTGCTGCGCCTAAGTGCAACCATAATGTGCATTCTATGCATTGCGGTAGACTGAAACGCAATTAACTTATGCATGATTCGATTTCACAGCAAAATGGTTGGATAACAGGGGTATTGCGGGAAATTGACTGATGTTCAAGTGAGGAAGTATCATGGAAGTGACTCATGTGAGCACGTACAGTCGTTAAAGCATTATACCAGCGCTAGCTCCCTGTACATACATATCCTTAAGTGACAACTAACAGCAACAGACTACCCCTCCAATCCACATCTCACATTGACCAGCGCTAGCAAAGGCACCCAATAAGGAATTGGTGCCTCCTCCTTGACAAGACCAGCTCAAAGCGGCATGAAGACTGAGGATCATCAAGGGGGTGGTACAGATAGAAAAAACATCAGTTTTTTCCTTGTTTTAGATTCTTTCTCTTGTTGCAAAAGGATTATTTGGAGCCATTCTGATTTCTTTTCTATCTTCCACTTCCTGAATCATAGGCATCCATTCTCCAATTTGTGTTTACCATCTGGTGCAGCTACTGCTGCTGACCTCAAGGCTGCAAATTGAGCCAGATTTGAAGCTTCCAAAGCTGCTGAAGCAACCTCAAACTCCTCCACTTCATCGCTGAAACCTCCTTCATCTTCTGGTCGCCGTGCCCCCCATCCGCGTAGTCCTCAATCCACACGAACAGATCCCGGCATTGTTTCCCAACCCTGCAACTCTCGTCTTGCTATCCCTTTGCCACTTCGTCAGTCTTTGAGCTCCAAGAATCTCATTGAGTTGTCCGACAACAATCCCTCAGTTGACAAGCACAACGGTGACAAGTCGTCGTCCGTGTCATCAGCGGCAGGTGATGATGATGATGATGACAATGACTTGTCAGCTGAATCATCACCATCTGGAAACATTAATATACACAGATCCTTCCTGGAAAGTTCTGCTTGATCCATGATGGACAACAAAACATGGTCAACAAGCTTTTATTGGAGTCTCTGTTTCCTACATAGACAGAGATTCAAAACTTCATGTCCACCATCTGACCCTCGAGTTGGTTGCTTGGAACCATTACGGAGCTCTCTTAGCTTGGCCAGTTGGACGCTTCCTCATAAGGCATGGACTTCACAAAAAGATATGTGTCTTTTCTTTTAGGTCATATCCTTATATGTATTATTTTCATTTTCATTTTCTTCTTGATTTATATTTGTTTTGTCATCTTCTCCAATACTTAAAAGCCTCTGTAAACTTTTTGTTGTATTGTGTATTCAATTTCTACCTTTGATTTTGTCTCTCATCGTCCAATTCCTCTTTTATCTATCTCAAAACTAATTTTATGTTTCTTTTTTGCTTACGAATATCCACATGGTTGCTCAACCTACTGACTCACGGGGAACAAACAACCCCACCACCAAGGAACTCCAGGATATGTTTCTATCAGCTGACAATCCAGTCTACCGGGATTTCAGCCAACACCAGATTCAATGCTAGGCCCACAAGCTAGCATTGACTGTGAAAGCGGGTCTTGGAAGTATCAAGGTTAAATCAGGAACATGTAAGCCAACTGCGCCAAGAGGACGAAAACTTGCTTTACTACTACCCAATCTCCTCAAAACAAACAAACTCCCTCCTACAATCGTTCTCAACAATGGTGAAGATATCCTTGAAGATTGTGATGAAAACCTTGGGGAATCTCATTCAGACAATAATCTTTGTGGGGGTGATCCTGACTCTGACAGCAACAATGAAGAAGGGGACAATGCTGAAGAGAACAAAGCGTCTGAGATTGAATCAGGTGATTTGTTTTCACGGGCGGTACACAAGGTGAGTTAATTGTACTTCAATCTTGTGCATACATCTTTTCCTAACTAATGATTCCTTTCAAATAAACAGGTTTCAAAAGTAAATAAAACAATTTCAAGAAATGGGTCGTTAATGGAACTGTTCCATGCTATTGCCAAGGAAGAAGGTTACACCGGCCCAGGCTTGATTGCAGCCCATGGGCAGCGTTGGAACATGATCTTGGACATGTTGGAACGGTTGCTCAAGGCTAGAAAGGTGAGATCTATTTAACTGGTTAAAGTTTGAAGTGATTCTGATCTTTTCTTGTCCAGATTGTCAATCACATGTTAAACAAAGACAAGGACAACAACTTTGACAGTATATTCATATTGCTTGATGACTGGAACATTGTCAAGGCTCTTATTGATGTCCTACACGTTTGTGATTTTTCAATTTTATAATATCAGTGAGTACATTACCGGAGCATACACTGATGTCATAACTTCCAGTCAATTCAGATCCTCTATACCTCTACCAAGTGCATGGAAGGTGATGCACCCAACGCCGGATCGGTCTTGTTCCAGTACACCACAACTATCAGCGCCCTTCAGGCTATCAAAACCGATACTCCATACCCTCGGCTGGCCAGTATGATATGTTTGATGATGGTTTGACTTGAAGATTATCAAGAGGAAGCCCTTCATTGTCATGCGATCATCCTGGCAGCCATGTTGAATCCAAGATCTCAAGGGAAATTTTTTGAGAAGTTTTTTCCTAAGTCCAGTGAGCCGTCACACAAAGTCTTGAAGAACATCTACGAGGAGATACTTGAGGACAGTCCCCCCGCTACACCCACCACTTCGAAGGTAGCTGAAACATCTGAAACAATGAGTCACAATATGTTCAAGGAGCAAAATTTTTTGCTTCACAGAACAAGGCTGAAAGCCCCAGAGACAAAGAACTTCAAGCTTATCTTTTGGGCAAATACATGTGTGATGAAAATCAAGATATATTAGATTGGTGGGCAGTAAGTGAAATTTGACTTCACCTATTTACTACTCTCTAGTTCTGACTTGTCTCTTGCCAGTGACGTGACTATCTGTGCTGCGTAGGCACATCATATGCCTGTGAGCGCACTTTCAGCGCTGCCTCCAATGTCATCACGGCCGATCGAGGTGGCTTGGCTTCACAAACCATTGAGCGTGCAGTAGGACTATGTGAGTGGCTCAAGAAGCGCTTTGTGCCCCCGGGAGATTATGGTGAAGCCATGCTTATTGCAGAAAAGATAATGGGAAGGCATAAAAAAGTAAAGAAGACTCTCTAGTTGATAAAGAAAAAGAAAAAAGAAAAACATTTCTCCATTCCATTAATCATCCAGGATCGGTCGGACTTTGTATGGCATTTGATCACCCTATATCCCTCTGTACCAATTCCTTCCTCCTTCCCTCTCATATCCTTTGGTGACTTAGTAATTTGCAATTAAGGCGCTTGTGCCAGCTTTTTGAATCCAATTTTTGCAATTTCTTTGCGCTGTGAACAAAAAAAATCTGTTGAGGTAAAATTGTGTTTGCCCCACTGCAATGAGAACTTTATGGAGGACATTGCGCTTGTAACAAAGCCCAATGCTTTTATGCAATGAGTTTTTTATTGCGCAGTTCAATTTTTACCTTTTTGCACTGCATTTCATTGAGGTTGGGCATTGAAGGCCTTGCACTTGTAGATCACGTTCCGTACCCCACAGGGTGGCCGGCATGTGAAGATTGGGTGAAATTGGCCTCTGCCAATAAATCCTAGGCTCTTCACACTATGCCACATTTACCGGCGCCACATGAAAGCCAGTGTGACCATCAACTGACACAGCCATGTGATCACAAGATGATGGCTCACCTGGTCATAGTGTGAGTCATCTCACCTGATGGGACACCTGTTCAATGGGTGAGGTGACTCACACTATGACCAGGTGTCCCATCACCTGATGACCAGGTGAGCCATCATCTAATGAACAGGTGAGCTGTCTCACCCAATCAACAGGTGAGCCGTCTCACCCAATGAACAGGTGATGAGTCACCTGGCTATAATGTGATGGGTCACCTGTTGAGGTTCACCTTATTCCAGTCCTGTTTCATTAGAAACAAATTTATTGTTGTGGCTCAGGCATCTCACATCCATAGCATTCTTCCTACATATAGTATATTGCAGAGAGACTGAAAACAATAAAATGAGAAAGGAAATAGTAATTACACTCAGAACAAAGCGTAACAAATAAATTGAGAAAAAAACGAAAAAAAGAGAAAATTGAAGCAAAAAAAGAAATCATCTTAAACTTGAAGTGAGCCAGTGTCTTCATCTACAGACAGATCATGAAGCCCATTTCCAAATCCATCATCACGTTGCTGATCTCCATTTTGTTCTTCTTCTTCTTCTTCTTCTTCTTTTTCTTCTTGTTCTTGTTCTTGTTCTTCTTCTTGAATTTGTTTCTTCATTTTGTCAGCTTTTTCCTTTTTCAAGCGGCGGTATTCATCCCTGATTTTGTCTTCGGAAGGGGAAGCCATGGTGTCAATTTTATCAATTTCCTTGTAAGCCAAAGAATGTTTGAAATATTGATCATTAAGATCCATGATTGAGTTGTAGAACCTGGAAGGAGAAGTTGTCAGAATATTAAAACCCTAAGCGACAAGATAAACAAAGAAAATAAAACTCATGCCTCCTTGTACAACTTTCCATGCTTGGCTTTCTGAATCTTGAGGAATTAGAGAGTGTCATCAACACTATTCCAGACAAAATACTTGTGATCAGTGCTTGGAATTTGGAAAGTGTGCACAGCACGCAAGCGCTATCAAGGGCCATTTAAAATATCAGTCTATAGTGAAAAATGATATAAGAATAGCAATAACTCAACAAAAGAGCCAGCCGATGTTTGAAGTCTTTTGAGACATTTGCGAATATTTGGTCCTCTGTCCGAGGGTCAGTTTGAAGGATAAACGTGTGGTGGACCTGCTTGAACAAAAAAAACTAAGCAGAGAAACAAGTAAAAAACAAATAAAAAAACCTCACCAAACTAACCAGGTGCTTAAGACTGGGCATGGGGTGGGTGGGAATTGTTTTACCCACTGGTTTGACGTTGGTAAGCAGCTAGTAATAATGAAGCATGGGTGGGTTAGAAAGATGGAAAAGCAATTGATACTACAAAAACTACTTACTACGTTACGTAAACGGCTACGTGTGTCGGTGGCCAATCGATTGGCCCAGTCGTTAACAGCCTTGGTTGCTGCAGACCCATCAGGGGTTCCATACCCAGGAGGGTACTGAGCTGCTATGAATTCTTTGTCTTTCGATTTGATATACTTCTACAATAGAGAATGTAATCAAAATCAAACAAGAAAAAAAGAAAAAGAAAAAGAAGAGAAGAAAAAAACATACCTTGCATAGCGCATCAAACGTATGGTGTATGGCAGTTTGCGTGGAGTCTTTGGTCCGAGAGTATGCTTGAATTTGCACATCTACAATCCACATCCTCAATACAAAAGACAAACATATCAGTGGAAAATGGAAGAAAAAAGGAGAAGAAAAAATTCAAACTTACCTTTAGTACATCAGAAGGCTTCCAACTGTCAACAGCAGCAGACTGGAGAGCAAGTGGCCGATTTGCCAATCCGCTCTTGACAGTTCGCTGGATATAAGAGAGGAACCCAATTGTTTCAATGACTTGATTTTCTGGTCGAGTATCCTGAAAGACACATGTCAGCCAATGCTTATAAGAGAAAAAGATAAAGAGAAGAACTACTCACCTCACATATCTTCAAGACTTGCTTGTGAGCTTCACTAGAGAGGTTGAAAGGGATTCCGCAACTTGATCCAAGTAAGTTTTCTGGCTATTGGTAAGAACATGTGGCTGGACAAAAGTAGGATGGCTAGTAGGATGTGTAGAGCGGACAGCAGAGGAAGTTACCGTGTTGGAATTGCTGTTGGTCTTGTTGGACTGGTTAGACTTCCTTTGAGCTTGGGAAGTACTTGAAGCTGGGGCAGCGGGTTGAGCAGATGAGTTGTGTTTTGTGCGTACTACAAAAGAACAGGGAACAGTATCAGTTAATGCATTCAAGGTAAGAAAGAAAACTTACCACTTCTTCCAGAGGGTGCAGGTTCAAGACTGGGCGGGAGCAAAGAAAATCTGTCTTTGTATTGGATGCGCTGTCTTTGTCTTGGTTTTGGGCATCTTGATGATTGAGCTTTGATTGTAACACTAACACAAACAGATGTGTTATATTAGTGATGGATAAAGGTTTTGAGAGAACATTAGAAAACTTACACAAGAAATCGATCCTTTGAGATCAAGTTCAATCCAGCTGAATGAACACGATTATCAGGGAAGCCGAAGATGATCCAGCTTCACAAGAATAGACTTCGATCCTATTCCAAGATGAAAGATGGATCCGAATGGAAAGAAGAAAGCAGAAAAATGTTAGTAATCTTGTTGTCATACAGAGTTTGAGATAAGGAGAGATTAATAAAACTTACAAGTGACCAATCGATATAAGTCCAAGAGAAATAAAATGAGGGAAGTTGAAGATGATCCAGCTTCACAAGAATAGGCTTCAATCCCATCCTGAGATGACTCAGACAAACAAAATGATGTCAGTGAGGTTGTTGTAATGAGGAGTTCAAGATATGCAGAGATTAAAAATGACTTACAAATGAACAACCAATCCAAGTCTGAGATGAACAATTGAAAACCTAAATAAAAATTCAACTTTGAAATGAACTGAAAACAACAACTTGATCAATGTTCAAAAGAAGACAGTTACCAACAAAAAAAGGAAAAAAGGTTGATTGAAGTACAATAATCTCATGAATGAGAAGGAAAAAAGAGTGACAGGGGAGAGACTTACAGTAAATTGATGGATCTGATCCAAGTCAAAGAGAGAACTTTGAACAATGTGAATCCAAAGAGATTGACAAAAAGAAGATGATAGAAGTGAAAATGGAGATGATTGAAGTCGAATTGAACTGGATCTGACAAGAAGTGGTGGTGCACCAGAGTCTGGGTGAAATTTGGTACCGGTAATTGTCACACCTGTGATGCCTAATACTGAGTGTCACACCTGTGATACACCACAGAAGTCCATGGAGTTGAACTTGAGAGTAGCTCACTCGATTTCACAATCTTACTCACCAAACTACCCACAGTCACTCCACGTTTACCAGAAGCTACATCACCTCTTCTAGTAAGAACCTTTAAATCCTTACAAACAAACAAATAAACCTCTCTAGTCTTACCTGAATACTTCATACTATATTCTCCATCTTGACTTGGAAACATTCCTTCATGTGATGATCTCAATACTTCATATATCATCCAGTTTGCTTCTTGTTGAAACTTGGAAACTAATCCAATCGGAATCACTGCCAGCATTAAATAGGTTCCCTGGTCGGAACATGACCTAGGCTGGGAATATCATTGAGAGAAGAATGGAGCATCAAATCATCTCGCACTGCACATCTGAGCCATAAAGCATACACTACATATGTGCAAACATCTGAGTAAATCCTTAGCTATCAGCTACATACAGGTCCGCTCAGTTATCTGCTCATCTAGATAAGGAAATCATGTGTAATACATGCTGTAACTTTGTTCAGATTGAGACACACATTTCAAAATATTGACTACATATATCACAATGGCTACTCAGGCAATATTCATGGAACTGTGTAACAGTAGCAGAATGGGAATCTGATCACTAGGACCCATATTCCCATCTGGGAACCTCTTTAATGCTGGCAGTGAATTGATACTGGATTGTAATCAAACACATTGATAATCAAATGTGTCACGTCTGGGATTCAAACAATCAAATCTAAACTACAAGTTTGTGAATATCTTTCATGAAAGCTATTCAAGATTTGTAGAGTTAATTCAGTTAAACTTTCATTCAGTAGACCCATCCCAAGTGATGGGTTCCATTTCAGATCTCAAGTTGGATTTAAAATTGATCTCCAACACTCTTAAATTGATAGCTTAACATAAACAGTAAAGATGAGAGGCCATGAGCTACGAAAGGAGATCTTTCAAATGATTAGCGTTTGGGTCTGATGGCAGATCAAGTTGAAAATCTCTTGTACTTCCCAATAACTTGGTGGTGATGGATCTTCAGTAAATAGACCAGAGAGATGATGTGATGGTGTAGGAAATGTAATAGGTGAACCTTGTTGAGGATCATGTAGATTGATAGGTGTTAGATCTCTTAGATGTGGTATAGCTGATCCAGAATGACGAGGTGCCAAAACAAGCTGAAGATTCCAACATCAAAGATACATCAGCTTGTCCTTTCATCAAATGAGTTCATTAAATCAAATATACTGAACTGGATTGGTAAAGAGATAACTAGATTTCTAGATTGATTAGTACAGAAACTCTCAGGCTAAAGAAATACTAGTATGAAAAGAAGCATCAAGATCGATCACAAAATCATCAGTTAGTCACACCAATCAATCATAAGACAAACAACAAATCATTGCACCTGAATGTGACGTCACAGGTAGATGTCATAGGTCTCACAGCTAGCAACTTCCCTTTCCACTCTCTTTTGTGAAGTTGCGTTCGCCGTCATCCGTCAATCACCTCTAGAGCGAATCACTCGATCAAGTTTTGTCCACCCTCATTCTGAGTGAAAACAAAGTCCTTTAATCAATCATTTTACTTCTCTTTGTAAGTCTTTTCCCCTTGATCTCATTCAGATCAGCCTAATGTTTGTGTTGTTCATATCAAATTTGTTTGGTTGATTGCTCCATTTGTAAGCCTTATTTAATTTTCTTCTTCTTTCTTCTCTACACCTCATTCACATTGTCCTACAGATTGATGTCGTTCTCTTCTGTTTCTGTTTGAATTCTTGATATCGAGGTCTAGGTTGACTATCTCGAGTTGAAGACTGGCTCTTCAATAATGTTCCATTCTTTTTTTGTTTATTTATTTTTGTCTTTGTTTACTGAACATGATTGGTCTCTTTCCTTTTTTTGCCTCATTGTTCTGATAGCTCCATACACATGGATCAATCTTATAGGTTGTAAGTCTTTCATCATCTCAATCATCTCTTCTGACTCTCATTGATCATGGATTGATTGATTAATTGCTTGATGAACATTTCCTATAGGAACAATCAATCAAAATTGAATCATTCAGTACACAACCAAATCATTGAACATTTCCATCAAAGGCTCATTTTTTATTCAAGTTGACCGTTTATTCTTGTCTTAATTCTCATTTTTATTCTTGTTTTTTTCTCAATATCATTTCCCTTGCTTGTGTAATTGCTATCTGTATGTTTTGTCATTGCAAAAGATAGATCAGTTATAGTCTTCAATTTCATACTGTGAGCAAAGAACCAAAACACCCCAGCTTGATTTGAGGGTGTTGCTTACAATGAGCCATCACTCAACAGCCCCATACTTGCTTACACTACAGGAGTACGAGCCATCTCACCTGGTTGCCACAAAGTCTGACTCGCACTCTCAACAAGGTGAGTCATCTGACCTTATCATTGAGTGATCCTTCTCACATCACAACAAGGTGAGATGACTCACTCGATGACCAGGTGAGCCACCACACTAGGTAGCTACATGATCAGATTGGGCGAAGCCCACGCTGACTGGCATGTGTAACTCACATTGGGTATGACGATGTAGACAGCACACAGAGTCAAATCTCACGTGAGTGTCACGTGCCACCTGCCCCGTGGTGTAGAATGTTTGTTTTTGCTGATTTCTACAATTTTAGTGAGTATAAATGAAATGGAGAAGAGAAAGGTGTTTGAAGTTGTCCAGTAACGGAGAGAGTGAATTTGATATTGTTGGGGTTAGTTGAATCAAAGTTTTGCTCTATTGTCCAAGCAATCGCAGGCTGAGCTCAATGTGCAAAGTGATGGGGATGGATGGAGATGATGAAGCCTCTACATATGTAGGCGGAGTCAAATTGTTGCGCCAAACGTGTGGAAGCACCACAGAGATGGTTTGAATTTGATTTTAGAGATGTTGAACTTTGAAGTGGTGAGCTTTTGAGCGGTGGTGTTGTATGTGTTGTATGTGTTTGAGAGGGTTGGCGGACCCCACACTCAGGGCTTCCGTAATCAACTGACCCCGCGAGTTTTGAGATACCCGAGCCGCGGCGTCAGCGCAACCCCACATCTGCCGTGTCAGCTGTTTGCGTGTAGTGCATGAATTATTGAAAAATAAAATTTGGAATGAAACATCTTACAGCAGCAATAATCAAAGTCATAACATAATATAATTTCTCTTCAAGAAAGTTTGTGAGTGAATAAGAAAGATTTACTCACATCAATACATTGATGACAAAAGTTACAACTAAATAAGATTGATCAAAATATAGAGGAAAAGCCAAAAAATACTAAAATCACATCATGATGATATATGTTGAAATCATATCAATATATATTATACCTAATGATATAAACTGAAAAACTATGATAGACAACCCCCATCAACATGTGTAAAATATTGAGGTTGGATGAGGTTTGGTTGTGTTTGGATGAGTTTGGATGAGATTTGAGTATGATTGAATGAGCTTCGGATGAGATTAGAGTATGATTGGTTGAGATTTGCGCCCCCCCGCCGATGAGATTTGAGTATGATCAGATGAGATTGGATGAGTTTTGGATGAGATTGGATGAGTTTTAGATAAGATCAGATGAGTTTTGAATGAGATTGGATGAGTCTTGAGTATGGTTGGATGAGCTTGGAGTATGATCATCCAAAACTCATCTGATCTCATCCAAAACTCATCTGATCTCATCCAAACCTCATCCAATCTCATCCGATCATACTCAAATCTCATCCGGTATCATCGAAAAGGAAGTTAATAATATCACAAAATAAACACAATATCTGATTAAAATTATAATAATTTACATCAACTTGATTAATCTCAGACTCATCAACAGTTGAGCTGCATCGACAGGTGTTGAGGCCCCATCAGGATTCACCTAGGTGTCAAGACCCTGTGTAACAGAAGAGCACCATTCTTCCGGAGTGACCTCTTCCACTTCAAAACCAGCGATCTCACGATGGACTTGAGCGGAATAGAAAGAAGAAGAATTGAGGATATATGAGTTGTGTTCAAAGTGATTAACTTCCCATCCTTTTTGCCTGATGACGCGCCGTTCAACCATCTGAGTCTTGGTTCAAAGAATTTCACAATCTCCATCATGACAGTTGTGCTGGAAATTCAAAAGGCAGTTGATGTCCTAATAAAAAATTTGGTCAGCATCTTTTATCAGACAAAAAATCATGGCTTTGAAAGACACACTTTAAGCTGAACCCACACCTTATCCTTGCATTTTTGAAACTCTTTCAATAATAAAAAAGATGGATTCCTGGGACGGGCTAAGTGCGGACAATTTCAACCCAAGCCTGGGAGTTTGCTGGTGTGTTACCTTGCCACACAGAGACAACACATCCAATAGATTCATTGACAGTGTTTGCGTCAGTTGCTTGACAAATCTAAAAAAGAGTTAGATATCAATATTTTGACCAAGGAAAGATAAGATGATTGGACAAACAAATACAAAAGTGTCAGCCTTGACCTTCTGATTCTTGCTCAGTATAGCTGTTTCAACAGACTTCCATTCATGTCAAGGGAATATGCGCTTGAGTTGTTCTGGACAGTTGGAAGCATTCTTGGAATCTGATTTGACAATGATGACAAAATCCAAAATATGAGTGTGAATTTTTGAGTGAGAAGATAAATGATACACTCACAAATAAACTTGATATTGGGTTTCTTGTTCCAATCAGGATCAAAACCTAAACCCTTCTGGATGATTTTGTTGTTTTCAACCAACTCCCGAACCTTTGGTCCTGCTCAAAGATTTGCACCAAGTTCTTCATCAAAGAAATTACTGCCAGAGAATAAAATTCGGAAGAGACAATGAGTGGTGGAGGTTATGGCAATGTCACGCAATGGACTTTGATTATTCAAATGGACAGATGCATCACGCGTGACACGGTTTAAGCTTTTGAGCTTTTGAGTTGCAAAAAGGATAGCTGGACCAAGCCGCACAAATGAATGTACGAGATGAAGTAGCATGTGAAATTTAGGTTTATTCTTCCATTGGGCATTGAGAGAGATGAGTTGATTTAAGAAGCGTCGAATGAGGACTTCGAGTTCAGCAAGATAAACCGACATATCTGATATTTCAGGTCGGAAGATATACAATCCGAGATTTGAAAGATAGCTCCAGAGTAGACGGTGCTCCTCGTCGATGTATTCAAAAAGTACAAAAGCAACCATTTTCATAACAACGGCAAACTCTTTACCAACTAAGCTCTTGGCATTGTCAATCATAG